TACATTGCTTGGAATCAATAGGTAAATTATGTCGATCCTAGCAATGAGGTTTAGATTTTTATATAGCTTTTTTAAAAATAATACTGAACGTATAATTAAAATTATTTTCTCACAGTGGTTTTGCTAGTAGTCTTGCCTTTGAAGTAGAATAATTTTAGAATACATAATAGGAAGCATTTATTGTTCATGCCCAACCTCAACGCTTTCTCTGTTCATATGGCTGATAATCATTTATTTCATTTTTTTTCTGTATGAAGCAATGGATCCAACCCTAGTATACGTATTTGTTTAAATTAGAAATGTTTAAAGTGATTATAATATTAAAATAAATTTATCTTAGTAAGAAAATAAAGCAGCTCTCTAAGTTTTGAATCATTTCTATCAAGATCTGAGCTATCACCAGGAAATCAGCTGGGGTTTTTTGAGTTCAAACATTTCTAGCTAGTTAGTAAGCTATAAAAGCATCTGTTCAACATCTTAAGAATGTACATTCTAGAAGTAAGAATTTTTAAAGAATATTCTTAATTCATGATCTTGGTCATTAGAATGTTGGAGTTCATCTACAGCAAACTAATCTCCAGTTTTCCTCGTTATAAATGTTATATCATTTATATCGTTGAAGTAATGAATATTTATATGAGCTATAAGTTAATTATAGTTATAAATAATTGATATAAGCTTAACATTTAATAAGCACAGTAAATGTTAAAAAAATTTTTATTGATTGTATACACTGCAAAAAAAAAAACGAAAGATAATGCTTTCTTTGATATAGTCAAGTGTAAGACTTATTTTTAAATTACTTTACAAAAATGCAGACAAGCTATAAGAACGAGAGAACATGACCTTATAGTGTAATTATTAGTTATTAGGCTGAACGCGGAAATTTTTTTTGTTGATGAGTCCGTTTATTCGTAATCGGTGGATATTTATCCAAGGCTTAAGCTACTTTTCGCAATCTCCAACCTATATTTCGATTACTCACACGTACTCTGAGGTTCTCGTATAAAAAAATAATTAGACCATAAAAACTGGCGGCAGAGATAATTGAAAATTATGGAACGACGTGGAAAACGGGCGTGAGGAGAGGTATACTGGCCACCATCTCGGGCGACGGCCGATTTAGTTCTCTATCTTCTTCTTACTTTGCTATAAGACTTTTTATATACGCAGTACGCTTCTCGCATATGAATTTGCCAATTTCTCTTTTAAAACTTACGCGAAATGCTACAATGTAATATGCAAAATAATGGACCCAAGTGGTGCAAGTAAATACTCAATAAACCTTGTTAATTATTTTCTTTATCCATAAAACTTCCTCCAAATGGCTCTGATCAATGCTATCAGCAGAGTTTAGCTAGACATGTAGGTGCTTTCTCATAACTTTGATGACTAAATTTCTCTATTAGCAGATGTCGATTTTTTTTTAATAATTGTTTATTTGATGAATCAATATTCCATTTTTAGAATTGGAATAAAAATGACAAAAAGTTATTAGAAGATTTTTTTAATTTCAACATCAGATTTACAGTCATCAGAAGGTAATCTAGCTGAGAGTCTCTATCAGTATTATAAAATTGAACCCTCCAGCAGATAACTTATTACTATCTCCAACTATTAGACTGGTTGTAAATGTCTCAATTCAGAATCGGATTAGTACATTTTTATTTAAATTACCCAATTCATAAAATATATTAGTTTGAATAAAAATAAAGCAATAAATCCTAGTTATTTTGCTATATCTACACTATCGATAGTTCATAAATACATAATTTTTAATATTATATCTCCAGAGTATCTATCAGTCTTTAAATTTATTACAAGTCTTGAAATATTATTTATAAAATTATTCACACTATTATTCAGCAACCAACCAAAGAGTTAGATGAATAAATTTCATGAATTAGCATCATGATTATCATTTAATGATTAAAACGGTACTCTTCACATATTCTTCAAGTTTATTGTTGAACAATTAGTTTATGGACATTCTCAAGCTTATCCTTCTCATTACCCATACATCTGATGGAGATTTAATGGAGAAGCATCATCAGAGGCTCATCTGCTCATGCTGCATGTGCATGATAGTGTTCACAATGTAATCATAAGATGAGAGAAACGCATAATAATAGATAGCTTACACAGCAAACGCCATAACTTCATTGTCCTGGCAATTCGACAATTTACCGACCATTACCAGAGGCAAGTCCATTGGATAATCCGCGTGTTCGAAATGGCCAACGCGTTCCATCCATTATTCATCACCCACTTCTCGCTTCTCAATGTCCGTCCCCTTTTTTTATCGCTATCTTTACCCTTTTTCGTTTGATCTTTTCACATTAAAGCTATTATTTTTCACTCAATTTTTCTTGTGCTTCATTTTAGAAATCCATCAAATTCGATGCTGAGTAATTCAATTAGTCTTTTCCTGTTTTAGAGCTATCTTTTAAGCTTGAAAAAAAGAACTCTAAAACTCAAGTTTCTAAAAATTTACAAGAATACAAATATGTAACAGTACATATTTAAATTCTAACTGAAAAATTTACAAATTTAAGGAGTAGAAAGTATTATAAATCCAAAAAAATTGTCTAAACTTCATGTTAAGTTAAAAAATATCACTACAGTGTATCTTTTAATGGGTTTTTCGAGTTTAGAAACACTTATTAAAGTGATAAATCTTCAGTGTAGAGTTAAAAAAAGGATCATGATTGTTTTAACATGGAACTATTGTGCCCAGATATTTTTTCTTATATCAGAATCTGGACCTTGATGGCCATGAGAGATTATCTGCTGTGAGCAATGTAAAAGATGGGTCTCAAAAAGTTTCAGCACAAGAATTTTACTCTCTTTGAGTGCGGGCGGAGTTGAGAGAGGAGTCACGAGTCTAACCAGGTCCTGACTCGAGGACACTCCCCTTTTATTTCTATATATGTACCTGCTTTCTACGGTTCCTAAACTAGAGGTTTGCCCAACATGGTAAGAGTATCTTGATGGTGATGGAGGCCGCCAAAACTGGACTCGACCTAAATTCGATTGAAGCCGGTATATAATAAAGACATTCTTCATGTTTTTTGTTGTACCAGCTTCATCCTAACGATTATGGCTCTTAAATTTACTAGTTGTAATCTATAAAGTCATTTAAATCTGAAAAATATGTCTTCGATGAGAAATAGCTTAGGAAAGAACTTTTTGCAATTTCAATTAATTTTTAATTGATAACTGTTTATCAAAAGCTAGCCTATCAGCAGCTTTAATTTACTCATTGATTCATTTGATAAAGTGAATAATAAAAAATTTTTTTAATAGTTATAAATATTAGGATTGTTAAGGAAGCAATAACATCTTTTTTTAGGGTATTAAAAAAAGTTTATGCTACTTTCTTTGATACTCTCCACCCATTTTGTATTGATGTAATCTCTTTTTGTCGCTTTACAGCTGATGTTGTCTTCAACATCTCGCTCAGTTTATTTTTAATTATTAACTAAAATAATTATAATAAACTTGGAAATATCATGTATTTTGGCGGAAGTATAATTATGTTTTAATGAGGCTTTAATTACTTTTTACTCCAAGAAAAAAACGCATCAAATTAGTTAATAAATGTAAAGAGAATCATAACATAGTTTATGTAGACAAAAATAGAAAAATAATAATAAATTTATTCCAATACAAAATTGAAATAAAAGAATAAGCATTTGATTTTTTCATAAAAACTGTTAGAAACATTGAATATGGATAAATAAATAGTTCAAATTGAATTAAAATCATAAAGATAACAAGTTGGATAGATGAAAATGATCAAAACATATGGTAACCTTTCATATTACTGAAACACTTTTTCGACGTTTCATACTCGTATTTCGGTTGCAAAAATTACTGCGTCGTATTTACGATTATTATTTTAATTTTTTCCTTGAATTTTTTTATTTTTTCTCTTTTATCTTTCTCTGTTTTCTTTGTCTTGACAGTCTTCTAGATTTATCTGCATTATACGGCGGCAAAACAGTTTGAATTGCAAATTTGTGTCGTGTACTCACTATATACTTACCCATTGGTGAAAATCTGCTGCTATAAATTCTCAGTAAAGCATTGTCATCATATGCACAGCATTTACTTGAACTGGTAGAATTGGTTTCTTTACAATAATAACAATAATAGTCAATGCTTTCTAACTCAAATATTTTATGTCTAAAGAACAATTATTTATGAAAAGTTCAGTTCATTTCATTCTAACTTACAGTCTTAGTTGTCATTGTGTCGAAGTAAAAAATTAAATATAATCAATTAATATTTGTTAAAAAATACATTAAAAGTACTTTGATATAAAATAGTAACAGACAAGAAGCTTCAATGTCTTTTCAAGACTAAACTGGACATTATTGTGTGTCTTAGAATACTTCAGAATCAATTCCTCCTTTATTCATCTTCTTAGTCTCAGCTCAAAGAGCCTTATTGCCTTATCAAATGATTGCTACTTATTCAATTAAATATCAAGAACTTTATATCACAGTGTATCAAAATTCATGGGAAAGCAGTTGGAGATACGTTATTTTTTTCGTGATAAATTTTTATTCTTTTTTTTTATTTTATAGGAAAAAATCTTAATTATTCTACACCTGAATCAATGAACATTGTAATTCATATCAAAACGTTGTCAAAGTAGTGTTCTTTGATTCGGTGACGAATTTCAAATTTCAAAGTTGTAGCAAACTTAGAATACTGAATTGTCTTCTTTCTTTCTTTCTATTTATATAATTCTGTTTCTTTTTTTAGAATTCTAAAAATAATTAAATCTTTGATTAAAATAACATCTGTTTAGCGAAAAAAACAAAGGAAATAGTGGCAATAAACATCAGAAGAATAATTAATTGCTTATTGAGAACAATAACTTTAAAATTCATATCCTGTTTGATGAGTTAATATCTATGATGAAGTCAAATATTAGTTTATTTATTGAAACTTGTTTTATTTTATATTATTTTATTGTATATTTTTTACAGATTGATGTAAAAAAGTCGAAAAAGTGCGTTTCGATGGAAGCTAGACGTTCATCAGATCCAAAAACTTGGAAATGAAGGATTAACTTGAAGAATAAATCAGTTGGAGAAAATAATACATCAATCCAAGGTAGGATAAAATATCTGTAATTTAAATATTTGTAATTTTTTATAATTATTTAATACGATTGAAGATGAATTCAACTAAACTAATCTTAACAAAGCATTCTCACTCGACGGTTCATGCAAGCAACATTAAACGTGCAATAGCTTTCGCGGCACCCTGCCATTAACTTCGCGTATTTATAGGCTCGTTCATTTCATTTTATGTTTCAATTTAGATGCATTGATACTTGTTTGTTTACATGCAAACTTCCACTCATTCATCTGCTTAACTGTTGGCTTGCCTAAGTACCTATTATTATGACCCCTACACTCAATCGACACCCTTCTCTCGATGTATGCAGAACACAACATTCGCTATTATTGTCTGTATCATTCACATCAATGGTTGCTGTGTTTATTGATACGTTTTGTTCGTTATGTTACCTCATACACTTCTGTACTTTTTTGTTGTCATTTTTCTGCTCTTAAATTGTCCAAGTTAATTTGTTTTTTTTTTGAATATTTTTATTCGATATTTTAACATGTGTTATGTTGCATATAACATCATATTAAATTAGTTACAGCCGTTATAAATGTTTTTATATTATTAGATTTTTGTGTTGCAATAATTCAACGATACTCAGAATTTTTTTCACAGTGTAATAAATAAAATTTTTATAATATTTCTGGAGCAAAAGTTGAATTTCGATTATTTCAACTAATATTACATAAAATTTTTTCACATCAATTATTATTTGAAATATAATTGATGGCATAGTAATGTTTGGAATAATATTGAAAAAACGAAAATTTACATTGGAAGATCTATTTTTGATTAAATATTATAGCTAAACATGATTTAATTTTAATTTATTAAAAACATTCTTCCTTTGTTATTTAAAAAACATTTATCTATGCTGTCTACAATAAAAACAATTCTTTATTTATATATTTAAAATCATAATTGATTTGATTAATAGATATATTTATTTCATTGAGAAAAAAATTGTATAATCTTCTGAGTTTCCTCATTTCTTTTTTATCTTCCTCATATCCTCAAATAGCTTCTTTCTCATCTCTCGAATAAGTTGCGTGTGTTTTCAGCTGCTTTTTATGGAATGCAGCCACACCGTTGATCAGGTAATGACCCAGGAGAAAGAAGGGTCTATCGGTAAGGTAGATAACACTTACGAAAGCAGTTATGTATTTTAAAATTTCTCAAAATTTTCTGAATAAATTATTTTCAATTATGATGATGATTAATCGTTCATTAATATAACTGATCATTTCGCACGATTTCTTTTCGCGTCATAATTTTCAATTTGAAAGTATGCAAAATAACATATTATGATCAATTTAAGAATTACAAATGTATCATTACGTAAATGACAGTTTGAATGTCAGATCAAACCATTCATTAACCATACGTGCTCCAAACAATAATTATTTAATTATTATGATAAGGTGGTAATAATCTTTTGGTAACAAATTGAATATTTATTTTTTATTGATACGATTTAAAGCAAGAAAAGTATCGACTGTGAAACAGGATGTTATCAAAACCTGAAGGACTTGGTGCGTGCAGGATGCAGCCTAAAGATGCGCTGACATTCCGCCAGATGGCAAAAGGAATATCTTCTAAAGTGTATCTCTTGAATTCAGAATCTTGGAGTAATGAATTAAAATAAATCAATAACTACAAAATAATTACCACACTTGGATTAAGATGACCTATTTAAAAATAAATTCATTATTAAAACAATACAATTTTTCTCCTGTAATTTAATTTTTTACTTACTTTTTCTTTAATTAGAAAATTACTCAAAATTTCTAATAACAGTATTTGTGGATATTTTTAATTTGATAAAAAGAAAAATAATATTAATACTAAGATTAATAATAAAAAAAGAAGTAGAGCAAAACTTTTTATACATAAATTTAAGAAAAGTAGGAGAAACTAAAGCAATAAAATTCATTTTATTTGTCTTTTTCATACGTTACACAGATAGTTTCCTCTTACTTTGAGATAATTATCTTTTTAATCAATCTTCTGGTTATCACAAAGTGAATAAAATAATTCTTTTCATTGTCTCAAATGTTTTTTCTGTGAATAAAAGTATTTTGTATCATACCAAGAATATTTAAAAAGCAATATAAGATATATCATAACTTTATTAAACATTCATGAATTTCTCTGATCAAAATAGTTAATTAAGACTTGTAGATTTCACTAAATTTTATTTTGTTAATCATCATTTAGTTTACTGATTACAAAAATTATTGTTTAATTAATTAATTAGAAGTCATCTGAATTGATGGATAAAATGAGAAATATAAATTTTTAGTATCATCAGAAGAATTTTAATATTTAGCTCATTCATTCAACTAAAAGAATTAATAGCTTGGCTAGTGTGTGCTCTTCTAGCCTAGTTGCAAGCAATGAATCTTCTTTAGCTCTAATAGTTATCATCAGTGATAAATCTTCATTTGTTAAAGCTATACCTGTCGGCTATCTGTAGCTTTTATTCCAGCGTGAAGATTAAATTGAAGAGTCTTAGTTTAGCTCCAAAACAATAACCAGTAGTTTGTATTCATTTCAAATGTAAAAATATACATTGATGATGAGTAAAATTCTCTTATTGCTTGAATTTTCTCCGATTAAAATGAAGAGTAATCAAGAACGCGGGCGAGTACGATGAACGCTAAAGTCGACGAGCCAGACCAGAGCGATGAAGAATGGATGCTGGTTTAGCAAGAGTGTAGATTTACTTGGCTCGGGTGCAATGTCCTCTTGGTCTTGCTCTTCATCTTTTTCTCCCTTCTCCTTTCTCTTTCATTCTCCCATTCCTTTTCTTCACGTTACTATAGTTACCAACTACCCTATGAACTTTTTTGGATTTATTCGAAATACTCAAGGGAAACATACATCATTCATCCATGTTTGAGTCAAATCTCTTTTATAGTACAGTACGCTTCTTCAATTTTATATGCCTTCTAGAAATTTTATACATAAATATTCTTCTTTAATATTTCTTACAAAATGTTTAAATAAATAAAATTTATGGTGCTAAATCTCTTATGTATTCTAACAAATATGTATCATTATTTATGTTTTTTCTTTCTATAAAAAAAATATATTTCTTCACATGCATAACAATTTTTAACTTTTTTATTATCAAATCGTTAATATTATTCATTTATTATCGATTTTTCAATCGTATTTATAATTTGAAAACAATTTATAATTAAATATTTCAATAATATTTAATAAATAAAGTAATTAAATAATAAAATAAATTACTTAGCCATTAATTCTGTAGAAATAGTCAAATTTCCAATAAAATTTTCTTAAATTATTTGAAGTCGAATTTTTTGGCTCGAAAAACTCCAAAAAAATATTAAAGATGACCTGAGAAAAAGAAAGTGAAAGAAAACAGTTAGAAAGTAGGAGAATTTTGTGGAAGGACTGAAATAAAAACTAAAAGTTGGTAAGGATCTGAGTTTATTATCAGTGGATGAGTGAGTCTTGGCATTAAATGAATCCCCTGCTTGTTGTTGGAGTATCTGGAATGACGCTTTGAATGGGGCATTAGGCCCATTTTAGCTACTCGTTTTTAACCGCATCAAATGGGAGAGAAGTACCTCTTCTCCATCTCACGCCCTCGTCATATCCGACACGCGCCTCTCGGCACCACGCGAACTCGGCTTAAAGGTCCTGACTTTTATGATTCTGTTCGAGTGGTCGTAAAATCCGAGTTTACTACCGTCATGATTATCGAGCAAACGGCTTGCCACCTGTCGGAGTCCTACAAGTGGTTAAGAAATGATTTTAGATTTTTTACCAGTTTATATTGATGATTATGCCGATATAAATGAATTTATATACCTGAATTTATACAAATATCATATTTTTTTATGATTATTACTCTACAATCATCATCATAAAGTACATGAATTAATTTGATGAGTATCTTTGGCCATTTATTCATCAAGTTGTTGAATAAATATAAAATTTTAATTACCGTAATTATCCTCATTATCTGCAATAATTGGAACTTCTGTAAAAAAAGTCATTTGAAATGAAATTAACGATAATGATGTCGAGAATGAAAGTGATTTTTTTATGTATCTGTGGTTTAATAATGCTAAAGAGATGAAATGAAATGTACAATAATATTTAAAGTCGTTTATGATATTAAATCCGTAAAGAGAGTTTATATGAGTAAGGGAAGCGGTCAGAGAGTTTCTAAATGGCTAGCTGAGCAAGAGCAGCTTATGATGGGCATTACTCGGCTCGTTACGGAATAATTTACGAGGTGTGTACCGCGGGGGCGATAATCCGACGACATTTACATTCCAATAAATAGTATGACACCCTGATGTACGCCACGCTGTTGTGAATTTGTTTTTATTTTAAAATTTATCTTCTCTTAATTACGGAATGATTTAAAACAGTACTAAAAATATAACAACCCTTCCTAACGATTTATAACTCAATTGTAAATTGAGTAGTGAAATAAAAAAAAAAATAAATAAACTATTTACTTTATTGAGAGTTTGACACGGGGTTTGAAATTCAGATGTGTACGATCACGGCAGATACTTGACAACGTAAAAGGAGCATTTGATGAACCAATAATCGTTTGAACCACACTCGACTATGCCGATGCTAGTAGTTTGAACGTCTAAATGTGTATGCAAGATTAGTTCGGCTTAGAGCACACAGGTGGCGCCGAGCGTGCTCGTTGTGTCGCGCTGATAGCAGTGGCACGCGTGATAAGCGCACCGCGTGACGGTATGTTTTGACTCATTGTGGTGGGGGAAAGGGGGGCGGTGCTTAGGGTGATATGGGCGTCGTTTTGGATCGGGACTACTTTCTCCCCGCGTAGTTGTTCGGCACGATGTTGTTCCGCACGAAAAAATAGCTGAAGGAAGAAAGGAGGAGTAAGCGAGTGCAGCAGCTTGGTGATGGGAGAGGGAATGAGAGAGAAAGAGATAGTGCGCGTGCGACGTTGGAGTCAGAATGTGGGAATGAGTGAGATAGATGGTCGTAAAAGTGAATAAGTGGGAGAGAGATGGCACTTATGTGTAACTGAGACGAGTTGAAAGAGAGGGTGGAAATGGTGGGAATAGCGAGAGAGTGAGGAGAACTTGGTTATCGTTTCGGAGAGGGGTACGGCACGTGAGAGACGAAGACGACAGTACTCGTGCGCGCTTTGTTCGCACATGGAGCGCTTAGAGGAGGAGTGAGTTCGTCGATTAAAGCAAGAGAGAAGAGGAGAGAAAGCAGTACTTTCTACGTGCGCGAGTGAGAAGCTTTGGGTGTTGGAGTGAAAGAGAACACACAATCAGCCGGAGCGAGCAAGAGACGGACGACTGTTCAGAGTGGCGGTACACGGGGCGCGAGAAAAGCAGTAGTGTGCCGTGGACCACCGCACTGGCATACCGTGGTTCGTTACGATTCCCTTAGTACAACCTGCGTACTTATCCAACGTCATCGGCGATTCACATTTCCTCGAGTGCTAGTGCGGTGAAGATCGAAGCAAGACTCGAGCTTGGTTGTCAAGTAGCCTTCATTAAACGTTATTCCTTAACTATAACGAGCCATTTTTTAGATTTTTATTCGATTATTCGGTAATTCTTGGTGCTATTTAATTTTTATTCGGCGCCAATTCTGCATCATCAGGCCTTTAAAGAAAGGTCGCGTGCCAACCGAGCCGCTCGGGACATCCGAAGCGGCGTTTATAGCTCGTCTTATTGCCCAGTTTATTACGTCGTAACGGCTTAACGATCATCGGCCACACGGACTGACGAGTTCTCAACAGCGGTCGTTCGTTTGAAAAAGACCATAAAATTCATTGTCATGAACCATCAAAATATACGGTACGATTTCTTGGACCATTGACAATTGACACCAACCGTGTTTAATCCACCGGCCGCCGATGACTTTTACGACCTTGCGGCCGGTTTTACATCTTTACTTTGTAGTGTTCATTTTGACACCTATTCTCTTTCATCATTGACAAGTAGTGATTACTGTTGTATACCTGTCGTGCATTTATTACTTGTAAATCATTTTTGACCACTTGTCTGGTGAATTTTAACTGTTAAACCGAGCGATTACGCTCAAGTTTTTTTTTTCGTGTGCGGGTGTTTGAGTGCTAGTGTTTCAAGATACCCGGGATAATGAACTCGTACTTTGAGCAAAGCACGAGTGGCTTCTACGGAAGCCACCATCATCAAACGAGCGCAGCAGGACAGCATCATGATCCAGCAACAGCTGCTGCTTACAGTCGATTTCCACTTGGTTTGGGAATGTCACCATACGCATCCAGTCAACATCATCATCACACATCCAGTGGTCTTGGGATCCATCCAGGTAGTGGTACCAATACTAGGCCACCTCAAGACTCTCCATATGACGCAAGTGTTGCTACTGCTTGTAAACTCTACTCGTCTACTCCAGAAGCAACTGGACACACCACGTCTTCGTATTCTAGTTCTGCTATAAAAGACTGTAAACAGCAAGAACAAGCAGTAGCCGCGGCTGCAGCAGCTCATCAGAATGGTTATGCTGCTGTGATGGCTGCTGCCGCTGTCAAGGACGTTTGGCAATCGGCGACCTCAGGTGCGAATGGTCAAAGCAACCCAGTTGTCCGTCCGTCCGCGTGTACGCCTGAAGGCACGCGAGTCGGCAGCTACGGCGGTCTCGTGGGCGGCGATCCCGCCTCAAGTCCCGGTAACAACGGCTCCTCGAGGTCCCTGACGTCCTCGTGGAACACCTGCAGTCTCAACTCCACCGCAAGCCAACCGGTCGCTACTCAGCTACACCAACAACCCGGTGGTAACCATACCTTCTACCCCTGGATGGCCATAGCAGGTGAGATTGCATTCATAAACCCGCACGTCCGATTATCATAACAGCCGGAATGAAATATTGGCGTGAGCGCGTGCGAGAGAGAAGGTTTAGGAATAGAGAAAACACACAACCACGTGGTTTTATATAAGATTTCTCGCTTGATTCATATTGATAATAAACAGACACACATTCATCAATTCCGTGTGATTTAATCACTGAATATAAATCTTTTTTTTTGTTAGTTTATTGTTTCATTTGCATTATAAAATTATCGTTTTCGAATTGGAAAAAATAGGGAATTGTTAAATGTCCTATTGTAAGTTTTATCGCAAAATATATACAATCAAACAGTTTCGTGTTGATTCCCACTCAACAAACAAAACAAATGCATTTTTTCCGTTATTTGCGGCACGATCGCAATACGACACATTCGTCAACGAGAACTAACGAATTTATTGTCCCAATGGAACTAAAAATAATCCACCGTCAACAACATGATCGAATGCATCCTCTTCGTAGTGTGAAATAGCAATAACTAACATCAAGGTGCAAAAGCAAAACGTCAAACAACTTGTCGAGGCTTTATACATGTTTTAAGCGCACGTTTATTCGTTTCGTCGCTCTAAAGTGTTTCGCGCGCGACAACAAAATTGCTGCAATAACAAGCTCCATTGAAAAGACACTGTAAGAAACGTGGTGAGTGAAACAAGACTATAATGACGTGTATCTTAAGAGGAAGTTCTTTCAGCTGCATCAATTTTATTTTTAAAAAACATCACCCATAAACTCACTTCACTAGAAACGTATTAAAGTCGTATAAATTTTTGTAAATAAAACTTCAATAAAAAAAATAACCCGTGGAAATAAAATGATAATGAATTTATAAAATATAAATATCACACCCTTTTATTTTCTGTAAAAAATTATATTTTGATCATATACCTGTTATACAGAGGGGTAAAGTGCTAAGAATGAAGAACCCGTTCTGATCTGCAGAATAAAAATTTCAGGGAGACAGAATGGAGTCAAGTGCGTGTAAAATTGTCGGGTATGTGAGATATAATAGAGCGAGAATCGAGGTTTGGGGGCTCGAGTGTCTCTTCCCTGTAGCACACTTGCCCCTCCGGAACTCGGATTCCGGTAGTCAGCTGTTTCTATCTGCCCTCTGTATTTTCGCTCTTTCTTTTTCTGTTATTTCTGTTGTTATGTACAGTCCAATCATGCTGTTGGGCTGTCCGTTATAACAGTAATTTCTCTTCGAAGATTTTTAATGCTGAGATTTCTTTTTAAATCGTTTTATATCATGTCCTCACTCATTCCACTCATATGAAAAAAATGACATTTTTATTTACATCATGCTTTAACATCTCTTAGAAAGTCTTATCAACAAGTATTTCTATTTAATCAATCCAACTCAATAAATCTTTAGTAGAAAAATAAATAAAAAATTCAATTTTTTTTATTGATTAATTAATGTTGTTGACAGTTTAAGCAACATTATTTAATAAATCGCTAATTAATTTCAAAAAATAAAAAGAAAACTATCATTTAATATAAATGTCTTGGTACAGAAAAAAATTAGTTATCAATTCAATGTTGAAAAAAATAACAAATAAATTGTATTGATATGCTTGTTTGGTAACATCTCTAATTGCACGTTCACATACAGCTGAAGAGACGAAAAATCATTACCCTGGCAGGGAGTCCTTGTTCATTGAAATTATATCCTCTTGCTACCCCGTAGGTGGGCTTATGACGCGATTCAACTATCCTCTTCTCTGTCCTTAAACATGTTTTCACGAAAAGACTAGTGATAGGGGAATGCTTGATATTTCATCCTTTTTCATCTTTTTCTATATTTCTATGCAATTTCTGTTGCTTTCAGTCGTCTTAGTTCTTCCGGAGAACATCGCATGCAATTCCCATGATCATCTCTTCCCTCTTTTCATCACTTACTATAGTTCTCAGTGAATCTTTACGTATATCAGGAATTTTTATTCAACCAAGATTCCCGTTCGCACGCCCACGTTATTGGTGTTGGTTTCCCTGGCATGATGTATCTCTAAACTTAATGTCGATGTTGTTTTATTGAATCCATCATGTTCTCTTCAAGTAACTTACCTTGAGTGGTACAAGAATCTCACATGTTGGTAAAATATGCAGCATCCTAACCTTCTAAAAAAAACCTTTTAAATTTAAAATAAATAATATATTTTTTGCCACTTAGCTATTAACAAGTAATCAATTATTTTATTTTCATATTAATCTCGTTAATTATCATTCTTATTCCCTCATGTCACTGTCAAAGTAAATCAACGCAGGGCAATTATTTTCAATAAAATTGATTGAATCTCATTATTCATGAGTTGAATTTCCAGTGTAGAAGGAAACCGTATCTATATAATATATTTTTGCTTCTTTTCAATGTCAGTTGCTATCAGTAAGTGCAGTAATTATGAAAAATGAATAGCAAAAGCAGTGGCGTTGAATGTGAGAGAAAATACATTAACTGACAAACAAGTTCTGTCTCCTAGTTTAAAGAGATCACCAATCATTGGCTTATTTCATATGATTTTCTCATGGCTTGATGTATGCGTTAGTCAGGTCTGATCATTTGTTGATCGATAACGTCGTAAATGTGTGCTTGTGCTTCGCAGCACGATAGTTAATAACCATAACTTAGCAAGGGGACGTTAAATAGCATGTAAGACAGCTACCTTAAGCATTACTGAACTTGAATATATGTATAGGTTTATACATATGCCTACATACACATCCAATGTCCCAATTCTTCGTCTTCTCTATTATTTATTAGTAAATAATCTCTCGCTGTTTTATTGTCAACATTCAATCGTAAGATTTAATAACTACTTGGAAAGTATTCTTTTAATTGACTGTTTGGCTATCAATAACACCAGTGAAACCTCTTGACGATAATTATCCTCTGAATAGCTCCCTGTCAAGTGATGTATAAATATTCTTAAAGTAAGAGGGCTGTAAAAGTATCTTGGCAGAAATAAAACCAACTGATTCTGTAACATAAAGTTTCTATTGAACGTATTGTTAAATTTTCAAAGAGAATTCATTCAACTTACCCACACTCCCTGCAGACAAGGAAAACGCTTTCTCCAACAATATTAGATCACCTTCACCGGTGATTTTCCAGATGTGGCCGGGGGTATTTATGCTTCAATGAAGGGTCGGTCGTGTCTATAGGGTAATTAGAGGGTGCAAAGGACAGTAGTTTGAGGGCTTTACGTTATCTTAAACGTCTGTTGATTCTCCTCACCATCCGCAGTGCATTCTGAAAGAAGTAAGCGAAATGTATTTTTTATTCTTGCCTTTTAAATATGCTAGAATTTTTTTTAAAGTCATTCTTAATGCTGATATAAATAAAAAGCAAGATAGCAAGATTTATTTGACATAAAAGAAATTTTTTAAAAATTTATTTCGGTTGAAAAATAATTTTCAAATATTTGAAAAATGTGGAATAAAAATCTATCTCGGTTAAAAACATGTAATTAATTATAAAATAATCGTTAAAAGTGTAAATAATGATGCAATAAAATTAGTGGTGTTGATAATTAATTTTTAGGTGGCTAAATTGATGATAAAAAAAATTTTCCCGCGTTACAAACACGTGGTTAACTTGTTGGGTATAAAACCATATAAAGTACTCTATACGACGTTATAGGTGTAACGTACCTCGGGGAGTAACCTCGTTCAATATAAACCAAGCTATGAACAGCCCTGTAACCGTAACGTTGACGTTTACGACGACGAAATCGCAGCTTGGATCGTTTACTCCTCCTTCCAATAGTTGGAAGGCTATGGAATGAGCTGACGGTAATACAGAGTTTTTTTCTTTTTCTTCTTACCGATCTGAGAGGAAGCAACGACTCTGGATAGTGGCGCACCGTTGTTTGACTGTGGAAACTTCTTTTTTTACTTTTTGGACTCTAGACACATGAATCAGAAAACAAATGTTTCTTTCCACCAAATTCATTCAATTTTTAATAAAAAAATTATTTTAATTAAAATAAATAAGTGCTCTATTTTTTTTTTATTAAAATAATTTTTTGTTTTAAAGAACGCATTTTTTTTTTTTAGTTACTGATTATGTTTCAATCACTTAAATGCAGTAAAAAATTATCGTTATCTAATTTAACAATTAAGCATATTGAGCAATAGTATATGACATGTTAACAACTAAACTGATAGCTTGGTTGACTTTTATGTTCATAAAAATATTAGCTTGCTTTTATAAAAATTTATGATGTACTTGAAACATTTAATAATATCGGTGTTCCTTTATCAACCTTGCACATTGTAAACTACCACCAGAGATTAGAGTTATTTATAAATCAAATTTATTTACTCGTATCCTCATAAATTAAATTTATTCATAAAAATTAACATATGATTTAGACTTTTTTTATGTCTGTGAATGAAGGAAATGTATTTAGAAGTGGTTATTAATTAAATTAAAGGATGTTACATATATTGAAAATGATATCTTTAAATAAATTGAGATTATTTCATTATGAATGCCCTTATTTCGTTAATTGTTTTATTTTTATAACATCGATCAACAAGTGTATAAGTAGTGTGCCGAATATAGGCGTGTGTGTTGCGCTCTAGTGATCGAGTAGCACTGCCTCTGGCTTCGTCGGTGAGACCTAAGAGGTATCTTCTACACATGGGTCGCACACCAATGGCCCCAAACTGTAGAGGCAGTCCCAAGTAGATGCATTTGGTATCTGTGTACCTATACAAAATGCCTTTCGTTGTGTGTTGCTCTCTGGCCTGGATGAAGGATGATGTACGAGCGGCGCTATATGACTTACTACGCCCTTTTCCCTTCTCCACGCCCGTCGCGCCTACCTATTACTCGTTTCGAAAACATTCGTCATCTTCCAAAAACGAAGCCGTGATTTTATCTGAAGCTTTGCACGCAAATGAAGCAGAAAACTTTACATTTCTTGTACACATATGTGCCTTAAAAATACTCACGCAGTGAA